GGTCGAATGAAATCCGAGCAAGTGGAAGCGAGCACAGAACACCACAACTCCTTACTTCCAATGTATACGGAAACGAATGGAACTCACCGATAATTCTCGAAGGGATAATATCAAATGGCGTGTCAAATGGCGTTTATATTGCTTTGATGCCTTGAAAAGGATTGTCACGTGGGTCTTGGATTTGGTAACTTCTTCTTCCTTTCCTTTTAGGGTTATAGCAGCACCGGTAGAGTAGTCCTTAGTACTTCGTATCTAGGACATACATATATTTTGTACACAGCAAGAATGAGAGAACAATACGGAGTATATCGTACTTTTTACACTTCCCTTCATGGGATGTCCTCCAGACCCCATCCGAGGCCCTGCAATCTCCTAATCTCACCTTTGGTGGCCCGTGATCACCTGGCACCTGTTACGCGCCAATGACAGCCCTGTGGCGTCTGTCTTCATTTCTAATCTTCTCTTTAGAAACATCGAATGAGACATCTATGGTTGACTGTGCGCGTGGAGCTGCTATGGCCCCGGATACTGGTATAAAAGTAGGCCTCCATGGAGTACTCTATATTTCTACTGTGCGTAATAGAGAAGTCCGTCACTCGAAGAACAGGCTAGAAAGGGGATAAATAAATTAAATTTATTGCGCTAGTAAGCTAACAAAATATATGTAAGACATATTGACTAACTATTGAGAGGCCATAAACATCCACCATCGGACCCATCAAGTGTCCCCATCCCCGGCTATACATAGAAAAGTCCATTTCACAAATTAGGGGTCTTTCACTTTCTTATGCCGCCTATGTGTGAAATGGAAGAAGGCGGGTAAACCATCTACCACAAAAAGATATATAAAAGAAGAATCTAGAAGAAATCTAGAGAACAGTACCCTTATTCTGCTCCTTGTCGACCCTATAGTGTCTCCACATACCGATACATGGTACCGCAAGCACAAGAATCGCCGTCGCAGCAATACATCCGTACTTTTGACTGTAACCGTAGGCGAAGTTGATCGCATCACGCTCCTCAGTGCCGGGCATATACTTCATTTGAGCAACATATCCACCGGCATAGATGGTAGCCCACTGATCCTTAGCACTCTCGGGCAGGGCTTCGCGCAGTCCCTGGGGGAAAGTGTTGGCATAGATGGCAGCGGAGACGGCGTAGCCAATGGCACCACCCAAGTTTGAGAACAGAGAAACCAGCGAGATCATCATGGGAATACCTTCACGGTCCGACGCGCACATGACGGCCATCTGCTCGCCGATGACCATCATACCTCCAGCGAAGGCAATGAAGATCTGGCACATGATCACGTATCCGATGTCGCTGTCCGAGCCGCGGAAGTGGATCATCAGGCCGGCGCCGAGGGTCATCAATGGAAGAGCGAAGAAGAGACAGCTGTACTTGAACTCCTTCACGTAGCGGATCCAAAGTCCGAAGATCGGGGACCAGAAGCAGGATCCTACAGTGTAAATCGCTGTCATGTAGCCGGTCATCGTGACATCGAGGTTGTATACGACCATCACAAAGTAGTAGTAGTACAGATCCCAGGAGTAGAAGCTGAAATAAAGGATAGCCGAGAGACCACAGGCGCCGAAGACGGTGCGGTCCCTAAAGAGTTGGTAGGGTATGAAGTGGGTGCGGGCAAACCATTTTTCCCAGGCCGCAAAAACGAAGAAGAGAGAGAAGCCAATGACCAGGGGCGCGATAAAGGCGGCTTCGCTGTACTGTGCACGGCCGTAGTTGGCCAAGCTGAAGGGAAGAAGGAACAAGATGAAAGCTGCCATCAGGATGAAAGCACCGATAACTGTAATTTCGGTTAGTACTAGATTACTGACAGACAGAAGGAGCGACTTATACTCACTATCAAACTCATGTAGATAGTGAACGATGGACTGCATAGTAGTCCGGCCGCTAACTGGGCGCCGCAAGACACCCATCTTGCGGGCCTTGTTCTCATAATACTTGAAGACACCAGCCAGGGGCAAGAAGACAAAGGGCATGATAATAGCAAAAGAGCCATAAGCCCAGCGCCAGTTGGAAGTCTTTAGGAAATGCGTAGCAGCCAGGGGGCCCGTGAACGAAGTGCAGATAAAGGGCGTGGAGGCAAAGGCAAAGGCAAAAGCACGGTTGCGCATGCCCGAAGTATCGGCAATGAAGATGTCCAATATGATATAGATCGCATCATATCCAACCCAGTAAAGAACGTAACCGGCAGCATAACTGTTGGCGTTGTTGCAAGCAGCAAGGATGATGATACCGAGGATATACACACCCGTGAAGATGATGAGACCTTCAGCACGTCCCCACAAGGTCAAAATCTTTCCAATGGGGAGCTTGAGAACTCCACCAACAATACTTGCCAGAATGGTAGCTGTGCTGACCTGAGAAGCATTCTGAAAATTGGAATAGGCATAGTAGAGGACATTGGAACCGATAGAGGAATGCAAGGCAAGCATGAAGAAACAGATCCAGATCCTATAGATGTTAGAGTCTAGTTCATCTGCCGTTCTTTTCCATAGTACTTACCAAGCATAGGTCGCAAAAACAGCCTTTTTGCTCCAAACTAAAGCAACAGCCTCGGCCTTGCGAACGCCATCTGCAGCATTTGCACTGACCTCGTCGGGATGCTCTCGGATCTCCTTCTCTGCACGACCTAGGTTGTTCAGGCTACCATCTGCTGTATTCTGCTCCACATTTATATCGGTCTTCTCGTTTTCTTGAGTTGGACGCAGATCCTCAACGATTGCATTGTCCTTCCGACCACGAGTCAGGTTGATGACACCCATAGCTTATAGGGCAGGAGAATTTCTCTTTTATAAGGAGCCCGGAAGGAACGATTGAGAGTATGGGCAAGAAAAAGGAAAGAAAAGGGACGATCCGAGGGTTCAATTATATATATAGCATCTACAGAGATTTTAGTGTTTGCATTCCTTACGGCAGTTAACCAAGAAAACTGAGATGCTGTAGCTAGTACACCGAAGTGCCCGAGATAAACGGATCAGATAACCCAAACCATGGAATTAGACTCTAAAACCGGTCTAGCCGGCACATTTCCGCACCATGATTGGGTTGGAAATGAGGAATGGGCCTATCGGCCAGGTCCGGCTTGTCTCCAGGGTTTGGCTAACCAGCTTGAGAAAAGCCGCTTTGCCGGTAGTCGTGGTAGGCGGATGGAATTTTCTTTTTGGCGTTTTGTTATCTTCCTAGGCCTTTATCTTATTTATAATACTGGAAGTGGTAGGTATGTTTGACTGGGATATCTAAGGGTATCAAATACCACTTGGAAAATACCCTATTCAAATGCCAATCCTCCCACTCAATGAACCAAACGGTGGTGGCATTACCAAACCCCTCAGACCTCCAATGAAAATGCAGCCAGTTCCGACGCCACAGGCTTATTTTGCACGAAGTGGAGAAGCAGGTAATAATCATATGCTTTTCGGAGCTCCACCCGAAGTCAGTAGGACGTCACGGTATGCAGAGATGGCCCTTTCATAAACAATTTGTCGTAGGCTTTAGATGAATAGTGTGTGAACTAGAAATGATGAATAGGCACTAGTTTCTGCACATGAACATAAGGCTACTGTCACACACTTTGATCTATCTTATCAGATGAAGATTATCAGATCAATCCAAACTCAAATGCCGTCCACGGGTGTATGGATCGCTCTCGGGCCATTCGTTCCAAGGTTTCCTTTAAGTTTCTCAGCCCTCGGCCACTATCGGTATTCATTTTCTGGTCTCAAGAGAAGATTTTTTTCTCAAGATTTTTTTTTTGCCGTCGGGGCGAACTCCGTAGATCTGGATCTATCTTGTCACACTATGAAGTATTCACAAGCTTAGCTCTAGTTTGATATGATTCACTGATTTGCTTTGAGCATAAGCCGAAGTGTCCACGGTGCTCGTTCGGCCATATCTATTCTTCGCTACCGAGGGCTCCCGGATGGATCATTGCTGTTTCCGTAATTGCCGCAAGCGAGTGGTTCGGAAGAGGGTTTCCTTCTGGCTAGTATATTCCTTTTTTTTTTTTTTTCCTTTTTCTTATTCCACGTGGATAACGAACCATACTTTATGTCAAACCAGGAATATGCCCCCCTGGCCCTAAATATGAACCTTGGTTTTCGTTATGGTCTAGTGGTAAAATGGCTGTATTTTTTCCACACTTTAGTTGAATCAGATCGGTATAGCATACGGGGATGAGGCTGAGGCTCTTTATTTCTCTCACCGATAGGCGTTCCAAATCCTAGCCAAGGCAAATATCCTCGATATTCCAAAAATGAGGAACGCACTCGCATTTGATACCCTTAATTTCTCCCTGGGAATCTTTAGACACGGTTCACTATTCTCGCACAGACAATCACTGGACAACAGCGAGCTATTCCCACCGAGACATCCCAGTCTGCACATGGAATGCATTAAAAGGAAGACGCCACTTCCTACTTGCCATGGACAGGATAGCGTACCAAGTCTTGGAAAGAAATTATGAACTGCTACAAACGACCTGGTATGTTATTGGGTTGAAAAACGAGACGAAGAGCGAAAATTAAGTAGAACCTACTCGAGAAACATTGGAACCATTTACCTTAGTAGTTTATGCAGTTTTAACTTTTGACTACGAGATGCTTGTTTTGAAATTTTACATAGGTGGCGCTAGCCTTGTACTACTAGCTGGATTGGCGTTGCATGTTGCATATCTTTATGCACTTGATAGCTTGATAAATCTACGCCAGACCTTTCTAAATTATATGGGCAGATGAATAGACTTATGTATGAAGATTTCATTGTATTTCGTGACTGAGTAGCGAAGATGTTCATGTTACTCACTAACGAGCGTTATTAAATCCAGCCGGTATGTGGCTAGCCCTTTCGAAGCAAACGCCGTGAAAATAGAAAACAATCTAATAAGGCCTAGATAATCCAGAGTTGAGATATCATGTTGCTTTCGTGTGCATCGTGACATTACGACAAGAGTCATAATATGTTCTCGCGCTGCGAACGGCTTATTCGCCGCTGTTGCGGTGCGCGGCAGCCTCAGCGGTCAGCTTCAAGGCCGCAGGGGCGTCATCGCGAGGCATGTACAACTCGACCAGCTAGATAGTGCGTTAGCAGACAGTTCGCAGACTTCCTTTTGTTGATAACTCACTCGAAGCTTGTCAGATACGTTGAACTCCTCGTCAGCGAACAGCTGGTTGAGTTCGTCACGGGTCTTGATACGGTAGCCTTGGTAGTTGTCCTTGGCTCCGAAGACAGTGGGAATGTTGGCAAATTCCCATGGCTGGATGTCGTTGTAACCTGCGTCCCATCCGTGGATGTATCGCTCGATAGTGTAACCGTCGTTGCAGATAACGAAGCTGGAGATGGTCAGTTTGTGATATGAGAGTTGGGTTGATGGTAATACGTACACGATAGGGTTCAAATTATTCTTCAGGATAGTGCTTAGTTCCTGTACAGTGAGTTGGATACTTCCGTCGCCGATGAAGAGGATGGTTCGGCGGTCTTTCTGCTCCTTAGCAGCGAGAGCAGCACCCTGACAGGCTCCCATGGAATATCCAATGCTGCCCCAAAGAACTTGGCTGATAGCAGTCACGTTGGCGGGGAAGCGAGTCTCCCAAATACCAAAGTTGGCAGTGCCAGTCTCCGTAAGGACGATATCCTTCTCCTTTAGCCACTGTCCGACGCTGGGCCAGAGCCACTTATGGGTAATGGTTTGGTCGGTGGATGTTTGCTCGCTCTCGGGTAGTCGGTTCGTGATCAGAGGGATAGGAGCAGGGTCCAGAGGATTCATGCGCTCAACAACCTTCCTCAGGACACCTTTCATGTTGATATCAGGATACTCCGAGTACCGCACTCTCACAAAGGTGCTGTGGAAGTCAATGGTGTTCAGCTGTCCAACACGATAAGTGAAACCGGTAGTGTTGAAATCGGACTTGATCGCTCCAATGCTCAGAATGAGGTCAGAGGACTCGACGGCCTCACTAACTCCAGCGTTAGACCCATTGCCAGCATAAACACCACCGAAGTTCTTGTGATCTTCGTTCACGGCTCCCTTGCCCATCGGTGTCACAAAGGTTGGTAGGCCAGACTTCTCCACCAAGGCGCGCACTTCTTCTAGTGCACGGTGACGAATGGCACAGGCGTCAACCAAGATGACAGGGTTCTTTGCGGCATGGAGATACTTCAGGACAACATCGACAACGTAGTCCTCCTTCTCCGGGTCATTCTTAGGCAGTGCAAGATCAATCGGGGTATTCAGGCGATCGCCGTTGACCTTTGCAGCGACCATATCTGTTGGCAGGGTGATGTACACCGGACGACTGCGGATCCAGCATTCACGAATCGCGCTGTCGATCAGAGTGGCTGCGTCGTGGGGGTCGTTCAGGCGTGCAACGTAACACGAAATACCCGCGCTCATCTTGGTGAAGACATTGAAGTCTCCATTTCCGAGAGTGTGGTGGAGCAACATTCCATCTCTTTGAGACTGAGTGGTGGGCTGGCCAACGATGTGGATGACTGGGACGAATTCGGAGTATGAGCCTGCGATGGCATTGAGGGCGGACAGCTCTCCAACACCGAATGTGGTGACAAGAGCACTGATGCCGTTCACACGAGCATAGCCATCGGCGGCGTATCCTAAGAGGAACAAGTGTTAGATACCGATCGGATCGTTCGTAGTATAGCCTGTCTTACCGGCATTGAGTTCGTTGCAGTTTCCAACCCAGCTGAGATCACACTTGGGGAGGTAATCCAATGCTGCAAGATTGTAGTCACCGGGTAGGCCATGCACTGAGCGGATTCCAACCTCGCGAAGACGTCGGAATAAGTACTCAGCAACATCCATAGGATTCTGTAGCTCCTTGGTAGCGATATCGGTAGTTGCCATGATGAATTGATGTGTTTGTAGAGATGTAGATAGAAAGAGAAGGATGGAAGGGTAAGAAGTGAGAGGTGAGGTCAAGAGGTATTAGATATATAATAAAACGCAATCTGGAACTTTTGTTGCTTTCCGGATGAGTACAAGGGTGAGACCACTTTTAACTACGTCATCGACTTGATGTCATACCACCACTCTATGTTTTTATGATATTGGATGTTGTGCTATTTAGAGACATTTAGAGCCACCTAGAACGCTAAGAGAGATAAGAGTTTGTTACGTATTTAGCGTCTATAAACATCCGGCAATATACCGCATACAATACTTCACCGGAGCACATAGTACGATGTAATAAGCATATGTTGTTGAAACCCGGCTAACCCCAATCACAGCCATATCCCGGCCGATCACACAAAACTCCCACCCCCACCACCTCAGACCACCATCCTGGCATATCAAAGCTTGGTTTATCTAAATGGGGAAAAGAGCTATGCCTGACAGATCAAACCACTCCTCAAAGAGGAAAAAGGTTAGTTTCCACAAAATCTTGATTGCTAGATAGCACTAACGGGATTAGGGTGGCGGTGGAAAATATGGAAATCAGAAGAGTCGCGTCCCTATTGAATCTGGTGATGTGGGTGTCTTTGTGACATGCGATATGGGCAGAGAAGCAAAATGTCTGAACGAGGCAATGGACATTTTTTCTCAGGTGAGAAGCATTTTTCTTCTTTTTTTCCCCCCTCTTTTTTCACCCGTCTGCGAAGATTATTCCTACAATTTTGCTAACCTTTTACCTCTAGGCCATTGAGGGCACTGAACATCAACAGGAAGAGGAGCCCGATACTGATGATGAAGATATCGAGGCTCAGATCCGAAGGGAACTGGAGGGCCTACAGCCCAACAAAGACAAAACTCGTCAATTCCGGCCCATACAGATGGAAATGCCGTGTGGTAGGTCTACGATGATTCCCAAAAAAAAAAAAAAAAAGCCATTTCGCTTATGCGCTCAGGGCTAGGAATTTTTATTAGTGCTAATCCCTGATAGTGACATTCATGCGTCTCGATCCCTCAATAGACCCAGTGCAGCTTGTGCACCGTCTGTGTAGCGAAGCACACGCCCATCCGGAGACTAAGAAGAGTCGGTGGATTAAGCGCATGCATCCGGTCACGTCAATCCGTAAGACGATGAGTGTGGATCTAACGGCTTTTGCGAAAGAGATTCTCAAGCCTCATTTCCATTCGGGAGGGCCGCCGAAGACGGTGAGTTTAAGGGCCCCCCCATGTCCCTCCCCCCCCTATTTGAGCCTTTGGCTGTCGGAGATCCTACTGATCTGGGAAATGATCCGATCATTTATCTCGCTGTGAGGGGAAATATACTTTGGGCATTGCTAATTTGTCATTTACTTAGTACGCTATTCGGCCGACTGTGCGAGGCAACTCGAAGCTCAACAGAGACATTATTATTAAAACTGTCGCTGATGCTGTTGGACCGGAACATCCGGTGAATTTGACGAACTATGATCTAATGATCCTCGTCGATGTTGCCCAAGTAAGTACTAGAAAACGAACTTTCTCCTAGTGGGTCTTTAACTGACTCGTTGCAGAATGTGATTGGTATGAGTGTAGTGCAAGGTGATTATGATAAGCTGAAACGGTTCAACTTGGCCGAAATCTACGACCCTTCACCGAAAGAAGAGCCCGCAGCTAAGGCCACTGAGTCTAAGGCCTAGTAACTATCAGTGGCGCAGTATGTTGTACTTTCCACAGTAGACACCACGTCACTTTAATGGAATTTTGTTGTACCTACTATCACCCATGCTACTAGTTGTTTCCTCGTTTGTCTTCTATTCTGTCTTCTATCATTGCGATCAATTCAATAAAGGTATCTCAACAAAGACCAGGACTTTGACATCCTCGATATTGGGGTTCTTATCGAATGCATGATCTATGCGACTTTTCTCGTAAACAATTACGTTCAGTGGGAGGCCCTTCTCCACTTATCATTATTATCGAAGTTTGCGCGACTCGGGAAAGTTAGAGTGGATATGTATTGACACGACATCAAATATATCCACACTAAAAGCACACTACTTGACATTGGACTCTCAATGTTTGCTACAACATACATATCACATCCCCTGCAGCTAATCTTGGAAGATACTATATCAGCCCAAAAATCCCGGGCCGCGACTGGGTTCATGCAGTCATAAACCGTCCACGGCCCCCGGGGTCCCGGGTGGCATTGACAAATCAGCTCCACAACCAAAAAAGAGCCCAAAAGGATTATGAAATAAAAGACGGAAGCTATATGCAGATCTAAGGGTCCATTCCAAAGGTTACTTCAGAAAGGATTTGTAATGCAAGTCATTTTATTTAAGAGTAAAAATCTCCGGTGGCTTGCATAGACCTCGGGAGTATTTCCGACCCAGAAATCAGAGGCGATTTCTAATAGACAGAACCGGACTAGTTTCAAATTCCAACACGGTTCAACGCCAAATGTAATAAGCGAAGTACATTCGGAAAGTAGCCGAGAAGAAGAAATAGAACCTTGGGATGTTCTATAATTCTGGATCTAACGGGAGGAATTCGGCAAGAAACGATTGTGATTGGTCAAGGGGTAAGGTGCTCGGATGATCACCTTTCTTAGAGCGGGATCTCTAGGCGAGACGGCTTCACTTAATTTACTTGTTCCCATATTTCTTATGAATCGTGAGCCAATGTGATAACAGCGTCCTTGTTCTCGCTTGTGAATACTTCCCCAGCGAAACATGTTCTTCTAATTTGACTCCGCTTTCTATCTTCAACCTCGGATAGTAATGCTTTCTCTTTCGTATCTCGCGTGGAGAAACCTAGAAGGGAGAGTCATGGCGCTGAAAATACTACGCTGTCACCGTCTTTCTTTTGCAGGCTACGTACGTAGGCGACAATCCTGGCGGTCTGGGTTGCTCGATTGATACTGGAGAACCTCCTAGGAGTACTCCATATGGATTCTTTCGCGTATTCTCTGTTCTAGAAGCGAGATTTGCGCCACGTATGCTGGGAGTATGCTTTTTAGGCCAAACTATCTCCTCGGCATATATCCGGCTCTGACTTGCAAGGTCTCTGATTTGCGATAGCCTTGTTCATACATCACCCCCTGTCAATATCTTTTGCAAGGTTCATGAGTCGTCATAGCCTTGCTTATATAGCATCCCCCTCTGTTGTGGGCACCCATATCCCCTACTAAATAGATCACGATGCAGCAACTCAACTTGCAAACATGGTCTGCGATGCCGTTACTCAAGGGAACAAACGGCCACAGCGAACCTTTCTATCGGCAGTCTCGTGCCGCTGAGGTAGACGAACATCATAGACTGGACGATGTTCTCTCGCTGCTGTTTCCTTCCACAGTTCGAGTGCAACACTCGCGTCCGATTTTCGGTCACATACATTCATTGAGGCTTCTGACACTGTCGAATGGAGCTCATTTGTTGTTAAAAGGGTCCCCATCATCAAGGACCGCTCTCCTTCGACGTGAGCGGTCGTTCCTCGAAACCGAAGCCCAGTTTCTCGCCCTTCTAACGCAAAGTGCAAACCCTTGTATCCCCCAGCTCTATCATTATGATCCCCATGGAAGACTCTGGGGATCTGCCTACTTGATCCGACAGTATATGGAAGGGAAGAGTCTGTCAGAGTTGGAAGCCGAGCTCACCCCACGGCAACGAGACGGTATCGACCGCCACTTGGGCTTCTTAGCGAGCGCCATCAGTCAGAATGCCGCCCCTGGGTTTGGGTCTTTGCAGCAAGTGGCACACGGCGCTGGAAGGCCCTCCTGGCGAGAGGCCTTCTGTGCCCTGTTTGAAGGAATTCTTCGCGACGCCGAGGACACTTTCATCCACCTTCCTTACTCAGAGATCCGACACGAACTGAACCGCCTGGCACCAGCTCTTGAAAGTGTATCGCTGCCACGTCTTGTGGTCGTGGACTTTGGTCGACCCTCCCACGTTCTGGTAAACGAGGAGTCTGGACAGTTGTCGGGAATTGTGGACTTCAGCAGTGCCGTGTGGGGTGATGTGTTGATGGCAGAGATCTTCGCGAACGCGTCCCCGGCGGTCTTGCAGGGAGCAGGGATGGCGGTGTCCAGGACAAGAGAGGAAAATATTCGGCTGGTCTTGTAGGTTTTTGGAATACTGTCTACCATCTCACTTTAGTGCACTGTTGCTAACTTTCTCTTTTCAATTTAGGTATGCGTGCTACCGGCTGGTGTCCCAAATCACCGTGCAATATTATCGAAACCGAGACGAGACGAGCGAATTTGATGCGCGGAGACGATTGATAACCACGATTGCGGAAATGACGAGGCTTAGACTGGCATAACGGGGCAAAATGATTTAACTGGTGCCTTATATGACCAATGTGATACCTAGATGATCACCATTAGACTGGTTCTGTTGCATAGCGAGGTTCCTTCCAGCGACGGGCCGGCCCTATTTAGCTGCATGCGATTTGGAGTTTTTTTTTTTTTGGTGCATTGACATATAGCGTTTTTATCAAGCGGTTCCCAATCGAAAAAAAAATTGTTCTCATATCAATCTATATGTGCCTATACGTACCGGATTTTCCCTGGCGGGTGGGGCTTTCCTATTTGAGCTGCCGCCGCTTTTATGAGGGTGCTTAGGCTCAGGCTCACTGAGAGGCTCAGATCAGTCACGTGTAGAATGACTGATGCTGAGTGAGTGCTCATTGGATGCTCTCTGATTACTCGGTGATGCCTACCTCCAGGGCTCCAGGGCTCCAGGGCTAGGTACCTACCCGTGGACTGTCTACTCCGTAATCAGTGAGCAATGTCGAACTGGGCACCTCGGACTGCTGAGTCAGGTTTCTAACACAAAAGCCCGCGGGCCCATATATTGATTAGTCAGGCTGTCTGTTAAAGTTCGTGTTTCTAGCATAATATGGGAGTTCAATACCACCGAAGTTGACCCAATCTCTCATACCCATAAATACAGGCATATTTCTGTCATAATAAAATGATGACATAGCGTTGTGCAAACGGCAGAAATCTGTTGTGCGCGGACGGGGACCCTTCCAACTTCTTAAGGATGGTATGTCAGCATAAGATAGCCCTTCTAAAGAAAATGCTGCCCAAATCAAACATCATGGCGCTGTCGAAACTAACCTTTATCCTCTGTCACATGTTTAGAATAGGATTATAATTTCCATGGTTAGCCTGTGGACAAAAATTTATGATTAACAGTTCGACATGATTACGTAGAAACTTGCTCGTCCTAGGATGGCGATATGCACTCCTAGGTGAGCAATATGCGCTCCTAGGAATATATTGGCACCCAGGAACCTCCCTGAGTACTCCTAGAGACCAGCTTCCTGCCCTAGGAGCGGCTGTGTCGTTCCTAGGAGCCCCTGGATGTCTACTTGTAGTTGGGCCTATACTCTAGAACCCGGACCAGAGAATATATTGACTGTATATCACGCTATGAAAAGTATGACTTGCTCGACTTTATTGTCTATCTAGGTTTCTTTCCTTAGCGGCCTGTTTATCATATGTGTCAGATCTCATCGTCTCTCTGTAGCCTAGCTTCTACAACTCTCTACTCAATCAATCTCACATTCACCATGCACTTCGACGTAGTCCTCTCTTGACAATACGCTCTTGTACCCACCTCTTGATCCTGGGACAAAAGGTAGGGTTCCTAGGAGCAGGGTGGCTCGGATTTAAGATACCGGCAATTTGAAGACTATCAGCAGTTGAGTATTTCAGAGAGCGACCCCTCTTTCCAAAATATATGCCACGAATTTTGAATCTCATTAGTTTAGAGTCTCTTTTCATAACCAACCTCTTAGACCAATCATATATCAATACCCTAAGTTCATCGGCTCTGCGAAGATGCCGCTTTTAAAATTTCTATTGGAAACTCTTCTGTGGATTAGCAATACTCTCGGTAAGAAAGACCTTCGAAACCTTTATCTTACGTCTCGAGAATTCAAAATTATCTTCAGAAAGGGCCTTTTCGGTAGCATCGACTTTGGAGAAACCCCGTCGATTCACTGGGCGATCGATCATAGAAGTTTAGGCGTCATATCATGTGGGTGTCAGGCTTTTTCTACGGAGCCCTTAGAACTCAAGCTAGACTTTAGGGAGGGCTTCAAAATCCATGCGGCAGCAAAAAGCACATTAAGTGATAGAAGCAGAGCTTAGTCCTCCAGTCCTAATATGCCACCGTTCGATCAATCTAAATAAAACCGTTTGTGTGCACCGGATACTAGATGAGTAATTTATGAATACTTTGAGAAGATGGCATATCTGGCTTTTTGTATTAGGCTTCCTTTAAGCCCCACAAATCAGCGTGGGAAATTTTCGTCTAGCCAAACTTCGACTACAGCTGGATTGATGGCGGGACTACGAGTACTTGGTAACTGGTATTGGTTGCTAGTGAGTGTCTTGGGTTGAGTATGATGTCTTTATAGAAGCTAACGAATCTTCTAGGTCTTGGCGGTGCTCCTTAGCAAGGATTAAGTCTTATTTCTTGGTGATATAGGGTTGGGGGTTAATTTGCTTAGGCTTATTTCTTTTGGCAAACTTTTCCGATTTGTTGTCCGGGTATGTCGACGTCTGAACCCAAGTGCTATTTAAATAATTTGCTATACTAAGCGCTTTTTGGTAGACATTTTGTGTCGTTGGCGTACATTCACCTTGCAGTCATGTCCTAATATCATCTTAAGCTAAATGAAT